CTTACAGTACATCGTGGACAAAACCAATCTTCTTCAGGTATAACTGTCATTGGAGGAATTAAACAATGCATATGATATGATGATGGACATCGATCACAACATAATAATTCTCCTCCATCACGACAAACACGACAAAATTCCATATGATTATCATCTTCTTCTTTAGCTTGTCGTGCAGCTGCTATAGCAGCAGCTTGTCGTGTACGTATTGATATACCATTTTTTGTACATTCTGGACATGACCAATCACCTTCAGGTGCTTGTTCAAGTTCCGGATCAAGACAAACAAGATGATAAGCTTTTGGACATGTATCACAAAGTATAATTTCTCCACCTTGTTGACATACTTCACAATAATCTTGATGATTTGTTTCATAACCAACTTGATCAAGTGGTAAATTAGCAGCCTCTTCAGCTGCGGCTTGTAATTGTCGACGATTATTTAAACGTGCTATACGTTTAGGTGGTTTTGGTAGTTTTTTAACACGTTTTTTTTTTGGTTGTTCTTCTTCTTCATTCATTTCACTTTGTACTAACATAGCTTCAAATTCAGCATCTGATTCATTAGCTGGATCTTCATCATCACGACGTTTACGTTTACGTTGTCGACTTGATTTTTTTGTTGCTGATGCTTTACCATCATCATCATTATCAATAATTTGTTCTTTAGCTGCTATAGCTGCTGCTGCAGCTGCTTGATCTTTTTGTAATTTAATTTTTAATGATGGAATTTTTTTATTAGTACTACGTGATGATGAACTACGTGGTGATGCTGTTAATATATCATCATCATCTTGTTGTTGTGGTTCAATAGGTTGATCATCTTGTTCATTATCATCTTGTATAGCTGTACGACGACGACGTGAACGACTTGTACGTGGTTCATCAGTATCCATACGATCATTACCATCATGATCATTATTTGATTCTGTTAATGTATTATTAGATGATGAATTTAGTGTACCTTTTAATTCAAGAAATTCACGCCAATATGCAGCCATTAATGTCATGATTTTTTGTGTTGGTAATTTTGGATAACGTGAATTTATAATTGGACGTACATTTTGTGAAAATAATTTAAATGTTGATAAATTAACATAATCATTATCGGAATATTTCATTGGAATATATTCAATGCCACATTCATCACAAACATCTTTTGATGATTTTTGATCCTGATGAAAAAAAGAAAATAACTTTTTATTAGAATTTTGATTTTTGTTTAAATAAATATGTTTACCTTAGATTTTTTATTTCCATTATCATCATTAGATGATATTAAATTCGGCTCGTCAGACATGATGATTTTTTATTGTTAGTATATCATCTAGAACAATTCAATATAATGAAAGAAAGACGAACGAAATATGTCTCCCATCTTGATTTTTTTTCTGTTCGTTCCTCTATAATGCCGTCCGTTTATTAATGATGATCAGTTAACTGACATTAATTGAACTCTTTCTTTCTATTTGGCAAGACATACAATGCTATTTATTTGGCGCTACTATCGTTTCATATTAGGAAAAGAATATGGTGACATTGAAATTTATAAAAATATGTTTATCCAATGAGAAAAATTCGAAGAATATTTGAATAGATAGCGCTGTAGAATGAGAAAAAAAGATCTTTTTTTTTCTCGTTGATTAATAATGAAATGTAACTTGGCAGAAAAGATTTTTTGTTTGGGAAAAGAAATTTGTACGCGTTTATATTTATTTCATATGTTTTTCTGAAATATATATATCAGTCATGAAGTTGAGGAAAGTGCACGTCATCAAAAAAAATATTCCTTTCATTACTTGAGAAATTGAAGTGTTGGATACTGTTATAAACAGAATAGAGAATTATTTTTTTTGTTTTCATTTTAATAGCTTACCAGAACTGGACTAGTTGAAGATCGGAGAAACCGGGACTAAAGAGCATAGTAACATCGTCTATGGTTTTAGACGAATCGAATCAAAAACTTTCAAACCCGAACTCGATTCGGGATCAAGACCAAAAAGTCTAGATTCCGCACATCTCAACACAAGTGACATTTGTTCAACGGCTCGAACTTGAAAATTGAGTGCCGTTGACTCCAGGAAGAAAGCCTAACTAGTGATCTTATTTTCTAAAAACGAAATACGTGTCAATCTCTTAATGAATTTGCTAGAAAAATCATGCAGATTCTTGTTGTTTTGTTTTTGTGTATTAAAACTAGAAAGAAGATATCATGTCAAAGAATGCTCTAACATACATTTAATCTTGTAAGAATAAATAAATAGTATAGAAACTTTGAGAATTATATTATAGTGATTTTTTTTATTTTGGTTGTGCCGTTCAAATGACATTATATTTTATCGTTAATGAAATGTGACTTGAATGTCGAGACTTACCTTTCAGTAGTATATAACATATCGTAACTGAGCACTGATCCTCATTTGTTTTGTATTAGATAAGCAAACAAATATTGGCATTTTGAAAAAATAATTCTGAAAATCTCAATAATGTTTGCATTATTAATATTTACTTTTATAAAAATTAAATCTACGTTATTAAAATGGAAAATAACATAATTATATATTTTGTTTATAATATTATCAATTTAATTAGTTAATATTTATTATTTAGTATTCATATTTAATTACTTTAACTAACAGGCTTAACTTGAGTCCAACATATACACTGAACAATCCACTAATCTCATTAAGAACTTGATTCATATAAAGTTTGAACTAGAAATTTGAAAGTCGATTTTCTACGTGATTTGAGAAGAATGAAAACTCAGTAAAGTTTCGATATCTCAAAAACGAAAGCACGAAAAACCAAACTATTCTAGACTTTCCTATTATTATTTACTAGTACATTCTGATTACGAAGCGATTTGACACCGGGAGAAGTTTCTTCGTAAAACGAATTTCACGAGGTACCTGAACAAGTATTTGTGACATAAAGGTAGTAAGGGACATGTTTAGATATTCCGCTAGAGTTTTAACATTTCATAGAACTCGTTTTAAAAAATTTTAGTTTTTGTTTGATTCAAAATTGTGTACATCTGTTTATGAGTCATTTTTCAATAGATTTCTTTAACTTAGCAATTTTTTCAGATATAACTAATAGAAAATGTGTTTTGAAGACGAGAAATGAGTCAAATACTATTATTTTCGTTTTGATGATATTGTGTACGGGATGCTTTAGTATTCTTGATAATAAATTCTCAATTAAAAGGAATTAGGGGATTAACTCGTATCGTTTCCTTTTCTTTAAAATGCAGCAACCATTATTACTGAGCTTATCGCAGTTTGTATCAAATTTTAGACGTGAGAAGAACGAATAGTTTTCTATCTACTTGTCACGATGACACAAAATTTTTCATTTCTCAATCAATAGATTATTCTTTCTATAAAAATAGCTAAGAAAATCTTTCATTTATCATAGTAAAATTTATCTATTTTATATCAATGTTGTCAGAAAAATATATATTTAACTCATTGAAAAGAAATATCAAGATCAGCTGTTATAAAATGTAGTCTATTAACATTGCGTTACAGGTATAAAACATTGAAAATCATAACAAAAATAGCTGGTTTAATAATAATAGAACTATTAAATAGAAAAGTTTAAAAGACACTTATATGACTCCGATCAATGCAATTTCAATGTTGGAAAAATACAGAAATTCATTTTTAACTATTGTTTATTCCATGATGATGAATGAATTGTTATCAATTACAGAACTGAACATCTTCTATTACCAATCACAAACTTAATATTCTATTACATTTAGTCTTGATAGACTTATCAGCCAAACGGAATAGTGAGTTAATCCTTTATCCTCGATGATAGTTTCAGACGCGCAAAATAATAAAACACCCACACAAATAAAGTATCGATCTCGTGCTTATGCTAATGGTACTGATAGGACGATTGAATCCGTTATTTTTTATGTCGAGTACACTCTAAAAGAAAATCCGTATTGTCAAAAACCCAAAAGAATAAACTTTCAAAAAATTCTTAAAAAATGTTCGGAAACAAAAAAGAAGAAAATCTAAAAATCCAAGACATAACAATGAAACATGCTGATGTTTTCTTAGCAAGTAATATTTTATAAAGTTCTCTACAAGTAATTTATAGTCAGTTATGAATCACATGGTTAAAGTGTTTTTGTTTCATTGTATTTCTACCCATGTTCGCTTTAGTAGAGACATTCGGGGAAAATAAAGGATCAAACTTATGTAAGCTTCAATATGTGATCGTATCAAATTTGCTCGTATATAGATAAAAATTTATGCAGATAGATTCAATTGATTGTTCATGTATTTTGAAATACACATTGTTATTGATTGATTTATAATTATACAACAGGAAATGAATTTCTTTTTGTTTCTCTTACGATCGTATTGATTGAGGTAAATGACAGACAGATGAGTTTTAGATTTATTCGTTATCTTATAATGCGTATCGATCAGTTTTTTTTTTCTATGAATAAACTTTTATACTTTAAATTTCTTTTACAAATAAAAAATACAAATGAAAAAGATATTGTTCATTTATTGATAAGAAATTACATATGAAAACTTTCAAAAAACAAAAAAAAGAAGAAAACAAAAGTAATAAACCGATATTTAAATCAGCAAATCTCTATTATTATAATATTTCTCTTTGTTTGATCGACTTCCCGTATATATTCTAACAAATTAATAACAGAAGATGATTATATTTTCTGAAGTAACATTAATATAAGTTACATAACGAAGTATTAGTTCGTAATTCGATGGATTCTTTTAAAAACAATAAAGAAAACATCTGACTACTATTCGCTACTGTATATACAAAATAAATTAATCTTATTGTATTATTTTTGTATCTCTAATATTCTAATAATCTGTTATTCATAAATTGATATGTATTAATAATATTATTGTTCTTAGTCAAAACATATGTTCATATATGGCAAAAGACACGGGACTTAGTTTTTACATTAACAATCTGTCGTTAATCATGAAAAAAAAACACGACTCTTATACAGTACTTTCCATTCTATCGAGTGTCTCTGTAATGTCATGGCATTTCAAATTTATTATATTTCGTCGTTCTAATACATTAGTACAGCTGTTAGCTGTCTTTGTTGATTTTTGATTATTATTACTATTATTATTATTATTATTATTATTATTATTTAGTTGTTTTTGATTAGTTACATTTGTTATACGATTTGTTGATGATAAACATTTAAATTTAAAATAATGTCTTAATGGTGTATGTTGAAGAATTTCGCTAATAACATGATAAACTTCTTGACGAAATTTTTTACCAGTTAAAAAATAAATATAAAATTCTAAAACTGTATCAATTAATGCTAACATACGTAAAATAAGATAAACATTTGATGTTTTTAAATCTTCTGTTACACGTGTACGATTTGAACGATAACTTGATTTAACATAAACATATATACTTGCTATACTATTTGTTGTTAAAAATACACAACTTGTTGTTAATGTTATTGTTGTTTCATAACTAACATCTTTTTTTGTTAATTGATTTGCCATTTGTCTAAATGATGAACGTGAGGGATCTGAACGATGAAAATCTTTTGGTGTTAATGCACCATTATGATGTGAACTTATTCTTGATATACGTTTTGGTGGTGCTTTTAAAACATAAACAATAATAACAATGTTTGTTGATGCAACAATTGTAAATGGAATTAATGATGAAACTATAAAATTAACTATTGGAGCATTATATACTAATTCTTGTGTTGTTTGAAAACCACTAAAAGAAAAATAACCCATTTGTCGACCAAATAATATATTACAATAAGTAAATGAATGATTTTTATCATCAATTAATGTTGTTTCTATTACTAAATTTGGATAATATAAAATATGCCAATTATAAATCAAACCGCATAACATCATTAATAGAATAAGAAGAAATACGTGAAGACGTGTTGGTTGTGGTAAACGTTTTGAATGTACTATTGTTATAACTCGTACTGTACAAGCAAGAATAACAAAACCAATTGACCACGATACAAATATATCACTACTACGTGATAATACACATAATAATCGTGATCGATTGATTTGTTCATCTTGAACAAAAAATTTTGTATCAAACATAAATGTCCATAAAAGTGGTACTGTATCGAATATTGTTTTTAATAATAGAAGTAAACCAGTTGATGTACCACGAAGCTTAAATTAAATTAATAATAAATTCTTCTATTACAATAAGAAAAAGATTAGATTAATTTAAAAACAAACCGGTTTTCGAAGAAATATAATACAATTGAAAACTTTTCCAAATAAACCAAATGTAATAAGAACAACAGCCATTATTTGTAAAATGTGTGTATATCTATCTTAACAATAAATAGATTTATAATCAGTATTTCAAATACATTACAACACATTAACTATATTAAATATTAATCAAACGATTCTAAGTTGTGCATGTTATTCAATATTATAGAAAAAATTCATTGATCCGTAGTGATGCTTGAACTTTGCCGTTCTCTCTTTATTCAAGTATTGCTTTTCATGTTAAGAGACTCTATACTTCCTGTGTTATATTTTCGTTTGTGCTAATAAAACAAAAATACTGTTTCGTATTTTATTCAAATAGACTCAAGCAAAAACAAGTATCATAAAAGATATATTATGAACAATGAAATTTTAATTGTAAAATTATTCTTTTTCTTTTCTTGTGAATATTTTCTATTTTTCAGATATAGTTAATTTCGTTGAATGTATTAAATATTTTACGTTAAGTGTATTTGAACTCTTCTTTTGATGTTCTTTATTCTATGTTAATTAAATTTGAGAGAAAAATCGGTCAATATTCTTCGTCTTTTTTTTTCCATATATTCCCTGAAGAATTCTTGCCGAATGTTATCTTTAATAGAATTTCTGATCAATATTTATAATTTACTTTTCTGCTGTATTAATATATAATGTTGTATGACGTTGTGAACATTGATTTATACATTCTATATCATAAGAATCGTTACCAACAAGTGCACCACTGTTATTTGTACTATGACATGATGCTATACAAATGATTAAATCGTCACCCATTATACAAATATCATTGTTAATATGATAATCAATTTTATAAATCTAGAATAGAAAACTAACACCGTTTATTAATAAGAAATAAATGACTCGATTTATTTGATAGGTTTCTTTTTCTTGTCTATGTTTGCATGTTAGTTCATCATTCACTTTCTTAATCTCCTGGTAAGACAAACAACATACGAAACTAGCCAAAATAATACCCCCAAAAAGAAGGGGAACAAAAATAAGGGAAGAGAAAAAAAAATCACTTTATGTTCCATGAACTCTCTATTCGATGGCAACTATTGATAGGGAAAGACGACTCAATCTATGTGAAAGTTCTATGATAGATAAATAGTCGATTAGAATCCATGGAGACGTAGAGAAAACTTTTTGACGTTTACTAATTATATATTATTAATAATATCCAAAAAGAAAAAAAATAACATTTTGGTTACTTTCATATTCAGTTATATTTTTAAGATGATCTATAATATATTTGATATCTAAATTTCAATGATTCATTTACATATGAATCACAAGAAAAAAGCGAGAAAATCTGATTTGAATGAATTTCATTGAGCTTCAGAAATATAATTTATTCTTGGAAGTCATACTCGATTTTCTATGTTTCATTTTTTAACTAGATATTTCTATTATATATTATAAATTACTCTATGAAATATTTGAATATAAAATATCTCATTTATCATTTACCTTATGGATAAAAAGAAAAGCTAGCAAATAAGACAAAAATATCATAAAGAAAAGTTATATAGTAAACCATCTACTTGGTTCAGTAAATATGCGGATATGTTCAATTGAATTCTCTCTCGATTCTAGTTGATTGAACCGCAATAATCTATTTAGATTCATACTCTATCAACAAGAACTAGATGTGCATGAAATGATCTCTACATAGAAAAGCAATTCTGTTTTTACTCTCTAGTCTATCATTGTAAAAAAGAATGTCACTCTTTGATGTGTGCGTGTTTTATTCAATACGCTCTTATTCGAGTGTTAATATTGAAACATCTATCCAAATCAGTACCAAACAAATATATATATATATATATATGCATGCGTCTAAATTCTCTTACTACTCAATCATACCTGATTACAGATATAAAGATATTTTTTTGATCAGAGAAAAAAAAAAGCCGTCAATAGAATTGGCATGTGCCATCGATTTTTAATTCTCATGAGAAAATGACTCCAAGCAAAGTAGAACACTATGTAACAAGATTTTTCTTCCCCATGAGATAGACAAAATAATTAAAGTTCTGCATAAACATTCAGATGGTCGCTGCCGCAGAGAAACCAAGAAGAATGACGAAAGTTGTCAAGAATAAATTGAGATAGAGCCGCTTTTCTTCATTTTTCTTTTTCTTTTTTTTTTTATTTATCTTGTAATTAAACTCATAGAATTACAAGTAAGTGAATAAATAATTTTTATTCTACCTGATAGAAGAAAAAATAAAAATCTTACAAATGAATAAGATTTTTCTACTGTTGAACTAATTTCAATCATTAATATCTAATGTAATCAAGTGGATCTACTTACATTCGTTCGTCAAATAACATATCTCTCTTTTTTTTCTCTTTTCTTTTGAGAACAATCAGAACTTACATATCGTCTAAGTGCATCTAATCGACTGAATAGACACAAAAACGAAGAGCAACAATTTTTTTTTCTCGGCAAATGCTTTTCGATTATCGATTATTATTATCTATCCTTGAATTGCCGACAAGTGTACATGAATGAATGAATGAATGACGAAACTATAAACGATTGAGTTGATTTTTTTAATGAGATACATTGGCATTTATTTATTATTGCTAATTAATGAAGAAAAAAAAAAAAAAAGCGCATAAATACAAAAAAAAAATAATAATAAGAATTCAAATATTAATTAAAAAAACAATGCTGACTAGAGCTTTCTATTACATTGTTGAGCGAAGACAATAGAGAATACTGTTCATCATGATTGAATGTAAAAAGACATCAAATTAAGCCCATACCTATTTAGAGAAATATACATAAATATGTAGCTAGATAGTTTGACATATATTTTTTAAACGATAATCTTACTCGAATAGTAGTATCCCAGGATCCAGTACCTAATGCTGTTCCATCGGGTGATACTTGTAATGAACTGACACGATTTTCATGACCATATAAAGTAACTACACGTGATCCTTTTAATGTATCCCAAACATTAATACAATAATCACTGTAACCACCGAATAGAAGTCGACCTAAACAAAAAAAAAATACTCGATTAAATATTCAATAATAATAATGTTTAATTTATTTTACCACTTAAAGAAAAATCAACAGCATTACATGAAAATATAATGGATTCTTTTTTATATATTGCTACTTGTCGATCAGCACGTAAATCAAATAGACGACACTAAATTTAATATTAAAAATGATCGAAAATTTTCTTTTTTTTTCGTTTTCGTTTTCTTCTTCTCTTACAGTTGCATCATCTGAAGCTGAAACAAATGCATCTCCACTTGGATAAAATCGAACAGCATTAACATCCGATTCATGACCTTCAAATGTTTGAACATAACTACCTGTTCGAATATCCCATACCATAGCAATATGATCAGCACTCTAAAATAGTTCATAATAAATTATCTAACGAATAAATTTAATCTTACAGCTGACACAAATATATTTCCAGCTTCTGATGGTGATACATCAATACCCATTACATCAGCTTGATGACCTTGAAATGTCTGTATTGGTGTACTACTTTCAATGTCCCATAATTTAGCTGTACTATCACCACTAGCTGTCAATATCTAAAATTAAAATGAAAAACCTTTGTTTTTTTCTTGAATTTTTTTTAATTAAACTTAAATATCACCTGTTGATCTGAATGCACAAATTTACAAGCTGATATATAATTTGCATGTGTAGCAACAACTTTTTTATATTTATTAGCATCATCATCAATATTTAATGGATATAATGTTAATTTATTGTCTAGTCCTCTTAAAATAAAAATAAAATTTTTTTTTAATCAATAGTTTCTTTTTTGTCATTTATATTATTTACCCGCATGCAACAGTAGTAGCTGATGGTGAATATGCACAAGCTAATACCCATGTTGTTGGCATTGTAATGACATGCTTTAGAATAAAAAATAAAATTTTTCTTATAAAACTAACAGAAATAAAAAAAGCAAAAACAAAGCTACTTCTTTATTAGTTGTGAATGCATCCCAAAGAATTAATTTTCCATCTTGTGATGTACTAACCATATGTCGTTTGTCATATGACCAATCAATAGCTAAAACTTTTCCTTGATGACCTTTTAAAATTCGTCGTGATTTTGTTGCAAATGGTGGTAATGGATCAAGTTTTTCAGCAACAATTGTTACTAAGAAAAAAATAAAATTGAATTAAGCAACTAATTAATTAAAAGATAACAATAAAAAAAAAAAAAAATAACAGAATTTTTGAACATACGTTCCATATCATTGAATTTTGCACGTTCTTCTTCAAGTCGAGTTTTTAATATTTCAGCTTCACGAACGAGATCATCGAGTGATTCCGTAATAACAGACATCGTTTTCTTTTTCTGGAAAATCAAAAAATGAATGAGAAACAACAACTAATCCATAGTTTATTCTATGGAAACTGCGCGTTGCTAAGTATGGCGATAGTAGCAGAAAGCATTAGTGGAATAATTCGTTTAAAGAAAAGGATAAAGTACAAAAAATTCTCCCGTATTTAATAGGAAACAGCTTCGCTAAATATGAAATAACATGTGTAAAAATAATAATTGCAGTTGAGATCATTAGTAAAAGTATATTAGAAAATCCTATAGTTAGTCAAGATTTTGTATACATTACAATTTCTTTTCTTCAATATTTTATTTTAAATACAAAACAGGCTTATATCTTCGTGTGACGACTACTACCAAATAAAATGAATATGAAATAAAACGAGAATTCTGATTTGTTTATTTTCATAATACGCTCAGTATGAGTGAATGAATTGTTTATACAAGATAGAATAATAATAATAACAATAGAAACATAAGAGAAAAGTGCTGTGACAACTACATTAACAAGAAAAATACACAAAAAACGTTCAAAATTGATCGTACATCAAACAAATGACTTTATTTGCTGAAAATTTTAAGGACGATTCAAAGACATTAAAATATGATTTTCAGTAAAATCTAACTCCTATTTTATTCATTTTCTGCACTAACTATCAACGTCTTTTAAAGTAGACTTGTTATGCAAAAAAAACAAACTACGCAAAAATGATGTTCATTGATTTGACTGAACGTTTATCATATACTATGTCACGATAACTATGTAGTCGCAAACTGTGTTTCTTTTATTTGAATATTTTGAAGCTCTTAGAACAATATCAGGTTTCATTTAACAGCGCGTGATATAACAATTGTGATCGTACTCAACCCATCGGTTGTTAGTTCTGCTCAGCTTACAAGTTTTGATAGTTATTGAAGATGTCGCCGAAAAAAAAACCATTAGTTGGAAGAATGAATCAATGAAGATAATAGCAGCGTCGTCGTCATCGTCTAAACATCATATTTTATGATATATTAAAATCGACAATGTCATGACAGATAATAACAAATAATGAGGTTTAATAGCAACTAATTATAGGCAAGAGATAAATGAGTAAAAGACTGTTACAAAGAACATTCTAGACTTTTTAACAAAACCTTATATTTATTTATTCCCGCTTTTAACAGAATATATCAATCATCATCATCAAATATAACAATAGAAAAAAAAACCTGAGTAATTTGTACTTTCGAACAGAAAAAATATTCGGTACAATGTTTCAATGATGTTTCTCTCGTTTTTACTGTTATATGTATTTCTTTTTCAAAATCAAATTTTTAGCGTCAGTATATTTATTTGATATAAAAAGTTCCAGCATAAAGAAAACATTGTGAGAAATCTTAAAACCTTATTAAAATTCATAAGCTTACTGCCTATTTTGAGCGAAATCCAAAATGACAAGAATTTTTTAATCTCTGTGTCGTCCGACATTAAGAAATAAATTTGCTTCGAACCAAAATATTACCCTAATTCGGTGCTTTGTTTCATTCTCTACCATTAGTATAGAAGAAAAATGAACAAGCATGACGTTAGTTAAAAAAAAAGCAAAATAAATTAAATATTTAAGTTTGAGTGTCAGAAAATCTTTAAAAATTAACTACAAATGAAAACACAAAATTTTGAAATAGTTAATTGACCACATTTGTGTAGACATGATTGCTATTAGGTGCTGTTTTAAACTAAAAATATTTGGCTTCAATCAATAGAAAACTTTATGTTCTGGACTTCTAATATTTTCGCAAAGTTCTTGATACTGTTCATCACCATTGAAACTAATATCTGACAGTATTTTTTTAAAAGTTATACATCCAGTATGCAAGATTTATTAATATATCATCCAATGAAGAATTAAAGTTTGAAGAAAAGGATGCAGAAATTTTCGAACATTGTCAAATTGCACTTTGATACTCTCAATAAAATTTTTTAATTGAAATTGGATAGTCACCCTGAAGAAACAAAATACTATTTTCCGAATCTTTGTACCGATTAGCATTCGATGACGTAGGAGGTCAATTATAAAAGCATGTAAGTGCTCATTAAAAACAATGACAGTAACAATAGAAATTCCAAAGATTTGAAAATAATAGAAGTAAAAATTGTTGTAGAATTCTCAAAAATCAGTTTCTTCCTTCTTGATACTATTTAGTGCAACCGGCATAAAAACTTCTTGTCTAGAAACAGAGAATTTCAAAAGTTACATATCAAAAACGAATTTGAATATTTTTACTGTACTTTAACCGAATAAGCTTATGCTTTGTTTTGTGAATCACCGGAATGCTTATGAAACAAAAAGATCGCAAGTGATTAGACTAGAATAATTTCGAAAAGATTTATATCGTTGTTGTGTGTTAATATAACTATTCAATTTCTACTGCATTCAACTCCATAAGATTCAAAGAGTAAACTAAAAATAATTGGAAAACATCTATTGGGATTCAAAGATCCATAGAATTCCGACTGCGGTACTTTCTTCAATCAACAATCGAGCTGAAACTTAACCCATACAAAGTTCTCACTTAGACTAGCGCATGTAGGAAATTTCAGGACTTTTGAATATAGTCGCTTCTAAATGTAAAGTTTCATAATGCAAGTCAAAGTGAATAATTTTTGAGAAGTATTTGTGAACTTCCCTTATAAAAAGAAACCAACTTGAACCTTTGCTCTAACCAGGTAATTTGGTTAAAGCACGATTGAGTTATACAAATTCTTATTCTGTTGTAGTTGACTTTTGGAACATCCTAAGCACTCGCGATATAGATATTTAATTATAAAATTTTTATACAAGGAATTTTTGATGATTTAAGTTATCGTTCATCATTTGACCTGTGACAGTTTGCAGTCGAGGAACAAAACTCACTGACGCTAATCAATCAGTTTTTTCAATAGAGTTGAAATAAGGACATCGGTGTGGATGATTGGGTGTACTCTTCTACTATACTCACATCCATAAAATTAACAATATGGGCTGATGACTTCTGTAACATTATGATGCAATCAGCAGTAGATGTTTCCCTTGTATTATTTTCTACAGAAATGAGTAGGATACATCGATTATACTTTCAAAGAAATAAAGATGTATGGTCTTTTACAAAAAATGCTTTCATCGTTTAGGAGTTTCGAAGTTTCAAAAAATCGAGTCATGAACAGGACTAATTCTAGACAATTTTGAATTAAATAGTATGAGGATCAGTAGTAGACAATAGTTGAATATTGTCATCAGAACTAAATCATATAGAGCTGATAAATTAAATTTTTGCATAATCGTCAAAAACGTACGACAGAATAAATACAAATACTCTATTCCGAATAGAAATCTATAGAAGAGAAAACTCTGTATTCCAGCTGTTAGCATCCTTGAGAAGTCTATTTCTGATTTTTCACTCTTTTAACTTGAAACAAAAAAGATTTTCTTGACGAGTACAACTTAAAATCTTGATGTTGAAATTAGCAGGATATGAAGATATTATGCTGATCTGTGAACATCACTGTGTACTACTTCAATCCGTTTTTAGCATCTGATCGGAATAATCTGCAAAGAAAATGAGTCGATTCATAATCTAGATCCAATAGTTAAGGAAATGATGAAATCAATCAATTTTACAGCATATAGCTTCTCTGGTTTATATATATCTTATAATGTCAGTGTCTGATAACTTGCAACATCTGCTGTTGACGACCAACAGTAGATACTGGATGCACACGTTGTCGTTCTCGGTGTTGACAGCTAAGAACAATGTCTTTCATCTGCTTGTTCATGCAGAATATCATAATTATCATAATAGTGGTAAAAAGTAATATTGAATTCATACTCAATAAATACAATGATTCCGGCGGTGGACTTTTGACTTGTATCACTTGCCAAAGAATAAGTATCAAAAGAGGTGTTCCGGCAGCTGCATAAAGAGTTTCTATCACGATCATATTTTGTGTAAGTTTCATTTCACGTCTAGCATTCGGTATACGAGTAGTCATAGCATTGGACGTTGAAGGAGCAATTCGTCGAGATGATTTACGAGCATGATAGAAAATTATATTATATATAATCATGGAACTGTTCAGTGGAATAACAAATGCAATAGTTATAGCATATATGGATATCAAGAAATTTTTAGATGTGAGTATGCAAAGACGCGATTCTTTTTCGTATACAAAAGTATCATGAAAAAAAAATGGTGCAATTGAGATCAAAATGCTAATGATCCAGTTTAAAGCAATCAAACGACAATGAACACGATATGTAGCGAGATATCTATGTTTGGAGAAGACGGTAAAGAAGAGACGACTGACAGCTTGAATAAGAAACGAATAGCTAATGGACGCGGGCATCGCGAGTAATAAAAATGCTCGCAATACACATCCCGGTTGTTGAATTGCCCAATCTTCATGAAAACCATAGATAGATGAGGTGATATTGCAGATGGAATAGATTGCAAGGAGCACACTCGAATTACAACTAGCAAGATTAGCGACTGTCCGACATGGTCGATAAGCAGCAACGATAACAATCATGATAAGACTGAGGATCAAACCAACAGTCGATACTACGATTGAGAACGAGAAATTGATAATGAAAAATAACTCAGGAAGCATGAATGTGATTAAAGATTTTTTAACAAAAATGTTGTAAGAAGCGCAGCGACTCCTAACATGATCTCTTTTTCACTTGCATGTTTTCATTTTTAATGAGATGGATACAAAATGATGACAGTCTTACATTGGAATATCCACGTTTTTTTGAACTGTAATCAGTGGCTTGTTATGCTTCTGACAACATCAATGACTGTTAGTAACGACTCTGTAAATGAGAATGAAGCAATGTGAGCTGACTGAATATTATTTAATCATAAACTAACAAGATTTATTCTATCTATGCAACGACAAAAAAAGACAAACGATCGATATGAAACGAGAGGCACTATGTTTAATACATGAAGTTCCGCTATAGAAGAATACTCTGATCATG